AGTTTAAAAACAATATCCCCCCCCCCCCCCCCCCCCATCTCGGAAAAAAAAGCAATGCGAATATTGCATGTTATGAAATTATTATTTAATGGACAATCGTTAAAGAAAAGCATCGATAATTAAAATAAAAAAACAAAGCAACAACAACACACATTCATCGTCTCCGATTATATATTGTCCAAGGAAAGCAAAGCATACTTATTCCAAAACAAGGTACGTATAATTATGTTCCATTGAACGCTGAAAACACTAAGGCGCTTACATGAAGGAAATTAAATAGTATTGGGAGGGTTGGGTCACACTGTGTAATGTAAGGAATATTGGATAAGGAACCCGTCCGATAATAAATAATGAAACTAACAATAAACGTAACCTTTCTCCCAAGGCACCCATGCTATCCCGAACGACCTCCTCTCACGTAAGCCTGTTCCAAAAAATCATGTTCTTCACCCCCTTTGCTCCTATTTCGTCTAAGTTGCCCAAACAAGGTAGGAGAGGAATAGTGAGGTCATCAACAGTTTGACCGACCTCAATCGCTAGAAATGGCTCTTCCAGGAACCACGACCTTCGAGGCTGGCTGGGGAGAGGTGCGGTACGCCGCATAGACCTATTTCTTGGGGTGGTGCAATGTTGTTGCGGTGGAGCCAACACCTACTTCTGAGATCCAAGCCTCGTGCCTGGGCGAGGAGGACGGGTGTCACAGACTACATCCTAGAGGTTGGGACTCGGGCAGGTTGGGGAAGACTTTTACCATTTTTCGATTTTTTTGTGAACGGTGACTGAGGTAGAATACCCAAGGCTGGCGGCAAGTTGGAGCCGCCTCTATCGAATGCGATTGTAGTAAAAAGAAACTTCATTCCCAATCACAAACTTATACGAACAGGAAAGTGAGCCCTGTCGAGGAATGACAAAGGGTAAACGTGGATAAATGAGGTACGTATGACTCGATCCCACGGGGCCCTGAAAAGACTAAGGGGGGTATAGGGAAAAAAAAACATATGAAAAAGAAATTATCATTTTTTTTACGAAGACATAAAAAAAAAATACAACGCACGAATAAAAGAGAAAAAATACGAATTGCCATCAGTTAATTAACCTTCATTTCCCTCGACATAAACATTTAAAAAAAAAATAAAAAAATAAAAAACGTGAACTCAACGTTTTCTTCTGTTCGTTTTTCGTTTTGTGTTTTGCCAACTTCGTTTATCCTTTGATTATATTTTTATTTTTTTTTAGATGCTTTACACTATATTTTTTTTCTTACTACCATAATTACATCTGTGTGCAAACATTCTGTGATATATTTCATCCTACTGAGTTTTATATCTTTCATATTCCTCATATCCTTTGATTTTTACGTTATAGCCGTCTAAAAAGATGTGCATATACGCCCATTCAAATGGCGGGGGATGAAAGCATAGATAAGGATTCACGCGACATTTATTTATTTGTCACTCCGAACACTTCTTCGTCTGTCGAGAGGTCCTTGCACGTTTCGTGGAAACGTCGAAGACGCCTTTGCCGTTATGAAAGACCTGTTATCGCTCCTTTGTTGTCTTCTCCAATGATACCAAACTGTGATAACTTGCCTATCATTGATTCTGCTCAAGTCCATTTTCCTTCGTTACAAAATGCTTCTTTTTCGTCAAATGATGGATTAGGATTGCGTATACGTTTGGATATTACTCGTTGTTCCTTTACGACTGAAACACGTGTGTCATCAAAAGATGAACACTGCAAACGTGGTTGACCGCCTTCCCAGAGTCGTCGGACTCGAAGGTCTTTACTACAACCGGTAGGTGATGTGGGTGATGTGACTGCTCACAGAAGTGACAAACAACCGATGATAACTCCTGATCGAGGCCTTGATTGTTCTGTGGAAGAACAATGTAGTGATAGATCTTTATCTTTCCAATAACCGATTCCATTGTTGGATGATATCGCAAGTCCTCAATTTTTTTTTCGTAGGAGTAAAAAAAATGTTGATGTTCGTACGAGTCAGATCTGTTGTGAACGAAACTTGTCTAACACCTTGCAAAGTGGACGACCTGATGAAAATTGTACGCGTGATGCAGTCTGTACAAATTATGTTCCTACGATCGAAACCTTTTCAGTTGATGATTCTTCCTTTCACTCACCACGTGTAGAGAACGGACCGTCGTCCATATTCACAGGAGATGTGCGACGAAGATGTGTGCAGCCTAACCTTTATGCTTCCATCGCAACTGTTCATGCACAGGCGTGCTATTCTCTCGGAATCTTGCCAAATTCCCCGAACGCAATGGTTAGGAAGTTTGTTGGATTTCATAATCGTCGAAGGAGATCGGTAATATTGAAACCGATTTGTTCGAGGCGCAATAGACGAGATCGTATGTTGCGGCTTCGGGCACTGCGCGCCTCTAAAGTCGCGCGTCGTTTGGACCTTGGATCGTTGTCGTCCGTACGTCAGGCTGTGTTCCCCAACTTTGATGCATATGCGGTAGTTGTTGAAAGTACAGTGGGCGGTGGCGGTGCAACAGAACAAGTCCATACGATGAATAGTGATGAACCGGGGTCTACATCGTATGAAATTTTCACCCGAAAGAAGAGGCTGGAAAGACGGGCAAACTGTCATGTTAGACGTATGCGTGCATTGAGAGTTGCGATTAAGAATCGCAGGAGGGAAGAAAATATTGATGCTCACAAACGTTTTTTGCGGGGTCTGAGGCAAAGTTTGGTCCCTGTAAATATCCTTCGAGAGATTCGAGCAACCACATCTGGTCAGTCGCGGGGTGCATCTTCTTCTTCGAAGGAAAAACGTCGTTATTGTTATCGACCGAAGCAATCCCAAAGTATGTCGGGGAGAGCAGAGCAGTCGCACAATCCGTCCGTTATAGTTCAAAATTCAATGAACAATCGGGAACATGGTGAGCCGCATAATCAGGATGAGCAAATGAATGATTTGGATGATGATCCACCTGCCGATATGAATGCACTCCCATCTGTACCCGTGGCAACACCGTATGCAGCGGTTGAGAACACCGTGGCTATTGTCGCGGGTGCTAACACGGTTGAGGCATTCGACATTAGTGTTCGAGAATGTAAGTATTGTGGTGCTAAGTTGTGGAATCATGAAAAAAAATTGACAAAAATATGCTGCAGAAAAGGTACGAGACGTTGTCCTCTGTGAGAATGGCCTCCAGAAGGGTCGCCGGAGCATGAGATTCTTTCTATTTGGACGTCTCAGACTCCCGACGGGCAATTCGTTCGAAAGAATGCAAGGATAATCAATAATAGTTGATCTCTCGCATCCTCACTGTTAAAACAACCGAGTGATGACGTTCATGGATTCCAGGGCCAACTTCGGGCTCAGGGTCCGATCTATCATCGTGTAGGTGCATTGATTGTGGAGGAAGGGGGGCGTCCTCAGTTTGCACAACTTTACTTGCACGATCCTCAACATTTGGATGATGCGATTGATCAAAGAGTGGATTTCCTTAATTTACCTGCACACACGTCTGATGCCGAACTTCAGCAAATGAGACGACTATTAAGAAGGTTCCACGAGTTGCTACAACAGTGTAACAACTATGTGAGGGACTTCATGACCATTGCGAACCTTCCGTCGGGAGCATTGAATGAAAGGAAGTAAGTCATAAATCTGGATGCCATGCCCACGGAGGAACATGCGAGGCGTTATAACCGTCCGTCGGGGCTACAGGAGGTCTGCGTTCTCATGGCGGATGACCTTCTTCCTCGTGAGCTCGAGATTCGTTTACATGCCCCTCTTCCGGGTGAGCGGCCAACAATTGTCGTTCCGCAGTGTTCCCGAAGGGATTCAACCTTAGCGTAAGCCATGCAACAAAACTCGTGGAAAAGACATTGTCTCTTCCACGATAGTCTTTTCCACGAGTTTTGTTGCATGGCTTACGCTAAGGTTGAATCCCTTCGCTTAAAATGGGTGAGATTCCATAAGAAAGAGTTGCGGTCATAATATTATCAGGACCTGCGAGACGCTGTGCAACAAAATCAGTACAGTGATGGTGTTGGGACAAAAATATTTTTGCCCTCCACCTTCACCGGGGGACCGCGGTATATGACTGAAAGATATCATGACAGCATGACAATCGTAAGGCAGTTTGGAAAACCCGATATTTTTATCACTATGACGTGTAACACAAACTGGCCAGAGATCCGACAAGCACTATTGCCGGGCCAATGTGCAACCGACAGGCCGGATCTTCTTGCCCGAGTGTTCAAAGGTTATCTCACCCACCTCATTGACGAGATTAAGAAAAAACGGATCTTTGGGAGGGTCGATGGAATGTTGTATGTAGTTGAGTTCCAAAAAAAGGGTTTGCCGCATTCACACATATTGGTTATCTTGCATCCGGATGATAAAATCCGCGATGCAGATGCTGTTGACAACGTGGTGTGTGCGGAGATTCCGCCTGAAGGGGAATTGAGAGAAAGGGTTGTCAAATTCATGTTGCACGGCATTTGCGGTGAGGAGAAAAGCGATGCTTCCTGTACCGAGAACGGAAAGTGCACGAAAGAGTTTCCGAAAGAATTCATTTTCACGACAACCTTCAAAGATGAACAAACTTACCCTTCGTATAGGACAAGAAAACCAAGTGACGGTGGCTTTACCGTCGTTCAAAATCGCGTTGTTTATGATAATCGTCGAGTGGTCTCGTATAACCCGTACTTGCTGATGAGGTTTAACTGCCACATCAATGTTGAATGTTGTGCTAACATCAAGACGTGCAAGTATTTGTATAAGTACGTGTATAAAGGGGGTGATCGTGTCATGGTTTGCGAACAAGATAATAATGCACCTGTCGATGAAGTCAAATCCTATCAAGATATGCGTGTTGTTGGTGCATGTGAGGCATGCTGGTGTGTGTTTGAGTTCGACCTTGCGGAACAGTGACCTACAGTCGAAAGATTGCTCGTGCATATCGAAAACATGCAAAAAGTGGTCTTCGAACCAGGCACGGAAAATCATGTTGTTTCCCTCGGACCGCCGAGCATAAAATTGACGGCATGGATGGATCACAACTCTTTGAGCAAATGTGTTCCTAAATACAAGCTTCCTTTGTATCCTCAAATTATTAAAACTCGTGTGTGGGATAATCAATATAAGGTGTGGAACAAAAGAAAGCGTGCCCTTCATGGTGCTCCTTTCGAAAAAATATCTCGATTGCAAATGTCAGGGTCACGGAAGGCGAACACTTTTATCTCCGTGTGTTGCTAAACCATGAACACTCTCGTGGAGCACGCTCTTTTGCGAAAATTCGTACCGTCGATGGAGTCGAATACGATTCGTTCCGATCGGTGTGTCTTCGATTAGGACTTTTGCAAACCGATGATGTATATAATCAATGTATAGATACGGTCGCATTCCATTATATGCCTGCAGAGGTTCGTAAAGTATTCGCTATGCTTCTGCTGTTTGGGCCGGTCAACGATCATGTTCAATTCTTTCAACGACATTGGGAAAAAATGTGTGATGATTTTCAGTATCGTGCGAGCTCTCAAATTCTGCCTCCGATCATTCTGCAATGTTTAGTGCTCTTTGATCTTGACCGTACCTTGCATGAGTCGGGCAAAAACATCCGTCTGTTCGGTCTTTATTATCCGACCCCTGATGGAGAAACGATTGCCGACAACATAAACAGGCATTACGAGAACAGGACTGTGTCCTCGATTATAAATGACGAATTGTCGTATGATCCGATTGAAATGCGAACTAAATTTGAGTCTAATTTTCGACGTCTTCGGCCACGCCAGTGAGTGCTGCTTGAAAGAGTTATTCGGGTCGCGGAAGAGAAACAACCGCTTTATGCTTTCGTAGATGCGCCGGCAGGAACAGGAAAGACTTTTTGCATAGAAACAATTTTGGCGGAGATCAGGTCGCGTAATGGTATTGGACTCGCCGTGACGTCCAGTGGGATAGCAACGACTCTTTTGACCGGTGGTCGAACATTTCACTTGCGATTTCGAGCACCTTTGAAACCTGATAACACACGTCCCTTCAATATTCCAAAACAGAGTGATATTGCCGAACTTCTCCGCCGTGCCGACTTGATCGTTTGGGATGAAGCTCCAATGAGCAACGAGTTCCACTTGGAACTTGAAGCTCTTGACATTATGTTTCGAGATGTCTGTAACAGTAACCTCCCGTTTGGAGGAAAGGTTTTGCTTCTTTCTGGGGACTTTCGACATGTTTAGGTTTTGCCCGTTGTGAAACATGGGTCTCAAATACAACAAATTGATGCCTCTATCAAAATGTCTCCTTTGTGGAAACTTGTTGAGGTTCATTGCCTGACTGAGAGTATGCGGATTTTAAGCTTAGGGGATGTTGCAATAGCGCGAATGTATGGCGTGTTTTTGATGCGTATTGGGAATGGTGATCATATTCGTTTTGTTCCTAACGAACCTGTCACGGTCTAACTGCCGCATGAGATTTACACTGATAAACCTATTCGTGATTTGATTTCCTGGACGTTTGAGGATGTCTGTGAACACGTTGGGGATGCTGACTATGTTTACTCTCGATTGATTCTCTGCGCTACTAATGACGATGCGGGGTGTGTTAACGACATGGTTCTCAACGATTTCCCTGGCGAGGTGCGTGAAAGTTATAGTGTTGATTACCCTGGTTCTGATAATCACGGACTTGGCATCGAGCGTGAGTTCTTAAATTATCTCGATGAGTCTGGTCTTCCGCCTCACAAACTGCGCTTGAAAATTGGTGCGCCTGTGATGTTATTGCGCAATTTGTCGCTCAAACAAGGACTTTGTAATGGCACAAGGTTGATTCTCAAAAGGATTGTTGATGATGATTTGTTGGAAGTTACCATAATGCGCACCGGTACAACGACACTGATCCCCAAAATCGATTTGACAAGTGATGGTGAAACCACGGGGTTTAAATGGAAAAGGAGGCAGTTCCCCATCCGTCTTGCATTCGCTGCGACAATAAACAAGTCGCAAGGACAAACTGTCTCTCGTGCCGGGGTTTGGTTGCGCAAACCTGTTTTTGCGCATGACCAATTGTATGTTGCTTTGTCGCGCGTTGGTCATCCCAACAACATTTGTGTTGCATTGCCTGACAAGAATTTCATCACAAAGAATATTGTTTATCACGAACTTTTGGAATGATTTTTTTCTTTTTTGTCATCTGTATCTCTTTCGACCGTTGATTCAAAGCGCTCCGAATTGCAGGCGGATCTCAGTTGCACCACAAGTATCACACTCGTGCTAATAGCAAAAGGCTGAAAGTGACAGGCACTAGCACTGCTACTGATGCTAATGACAATGTTACATCCAATAGTCGGGTGCAGTGTTCGGAACCCTCGAAAATAAGTCGAAACGATGAAATGTCTGTCAACCTTCAAACTGGACCACCTGCCCGGGATGCTGGTCTTGGACTTGAAGATGAGCATGTGTCTCCTCAAGGGAACACGCTCGAGGATGCTGAAAATATGTTTGTGGCAGAGGGGCGTCATGACTCTCGTGTGAAAGGGGATAGTTGTCAGGGGAATCGGTTGGGTGACGCTGATAAATGTGTGTTAAGTGATGATAAAGAAGAGACCTCCACTGATGGTTCCGGTGACCGTGTTGAATCTACATTCAAAAGAGGGACCAGTCGACGTGTGAAAAAAAATATTTTGGCTTCGCCCGACGCCCTTGAGCCCACCCTTCATGATCATCGGGTGACTGACAAAGTTGTTAGTCCTGAAACTGCGACTCAGGTTCTGAGAGCACTTCGCACAATCCCTACTGATGTGCTTTTCGACGATGATCGTGATCCATGTTTGAAGTCCCAACGTGGTGAAGGTGAAGGAGTTGCTCGTGCCCCGTCCCCAACACGAATTTGTGAGACAGTTGTTGAGGCGCCCGATGATAGCAATCCCCCACCGCCAGTTGCACGTGTTCCTCATCCGCGCGCTTACCTCTCTCAATGGTTTGATGATGCAAAAAGGTTGGTTTGCGAAAGGTCTTGAATGAGATCTTTTTCGAAATGTTTATGAAGACTGCGACGGTCGTGAAGGATGCATGGATATGGGAAAAATTCCTTGATTGGCAGAGAACGAAACTCACTAATATGCGCTTGGAACGAGGATCCTCTCTGCCCTCCAATCCGTTGAATATTTCAGATGTGGAGTCCAGCTGGATGTTCCAATCCCTTCTGCACAATGAGTACATTGCGCTCTCCAATGAGGAGAATGTAAGAATGACATTTGATTTGCCCTATTGTCCGACGGATGAGACTATTCCGGAGTACTTCTTCAGATATGCTCGGATACAAAGTCTCATCAAAAGAATTCTTGTCGGCGTTGCTTCTTCCGCTCCTCCTTCGGCTACTATTCGTCCAGTGTCATTACCGGCACCGTCTCCTGCGAATTTTCAACGTTGTCGGGCGCATCGGTCCGGCACCGCACGGGGGCAGCGCGGGACCCTCCCGACCGCGTCACGCAGGAGTTGGTTTTTATAACCCTTCGTCGCAATATACATGGAGCTTCCACAAGCCGCTCCGGCCGGGTGCGCCAGCTATACCTCTCGCGAACCCCTACGACAG